AGAAATTGATTGACAGCAAAGATGGGGGTGGGGGTGGTGAGACATGGCGATCCTCGGTCAGGGTCCTGGATAAAAGTTAGGCTTAGTATGGGCAACAATTCTCCTTTTAGGGCCATCAAACGTTACTTGGACAGGCCAATTAATATTGTTGGTATGATGACCTTGTCGTCATCACGTGGGACCACTGTTGTGCACCTTCAAGTTCATAAGTAGAATAGTTGTTGAGATGAAAAAAAAAGCCAATACACAAGTAGACTCACAATGGCATAACAAAAGGATTGTTCCTCTGCCTATGGATTTGGGGAAATTTGTCTTTAAAAAAACCGTAACGTGAATATTCATTATAAATCTACTGAATTAATAATTTTTTACCCATCTTTTGATGGTATAGCTACATGTTGTATTCAATCTTCAGTTTGTAATTAAAACATGTTGTGTTTGTATTTTGTAAGTGGCCGTTAAGGTAATTAATCCGCACTAGAATAAAGATAATTTACATTATCTAAAAACTTCAACTCAAAAAAACTCAAGCACAATAACACATTGAATAAACAAAAAATGCATATTAATACAAAAAAATCATATTTATTTGAATGAAGTAATTAGAGTAAAACAAATCACATAATATGAATTCTAATTTATAGAAAAAAATAGTTTTCTTCAGCATACAAACAAATTTAAATATATGCTACAAAAAAAAATTAATTGAAACAAATTGAGTTACTGTATAATCAGAAATATTTATATTATGTAACAAATTTGCAAGTACTGTATCTGTGTGTAAAAATTAGCAATGGTTGAGATATGAGGAATTCCAGGTAATAGAATGAGGGGAATGGTGAAATCTATTGCTCAGTGATGTAGAGGCCGTAGCCTACTATCTTAGATAGGTATTGGTCTTCACATCACTGAAGGGCTATACATTTCATAGTTCATAGAATCAAATCAATATTTGATAGATTCTATGAGGTCTTTAAAAAGTAATGAAAAGAGAATCCACCAAGTAGGTCAAAGGGCTGATATCTCGTTGTATAGGTCACAATACCCTTTACCGTCTGTGTGTGTTGTAAATTACGCAGCAACGTTCAAGTTCGGGCCTAAAGGATTATATAGCGATAGGGAAAAAGCAGACCTACTATCATTTAAGGTAATATTTTAGTACTTTTTTCCCCTGGGAATTTATGAACTATCATTCAACCCAAGTCATACATAGTTGAAGTTATTACCTGCCTTTTAACCAATCAGATGCCTGGCTGCTCTGTATGCGGTATATAATAATGATTAGAGTGGATAGATAATGATAACAATGCCTCCGAGCTTCATTTGTGTTCAGCAACACCGCATGATAAAGCACGGCTGATTTAGCCTTAAAGCAAGAAATCTAGTAACCACATCCTACCAGTTGTCGAAACCCAGTTTGCAGAGTTAATGGCCACTCTACCAAAACCCAGTTTGCTGAATCTAGTCCACTAAAATCATGACAACTCTATTTGCCAAAACTCAGTTTGCCTAATCTTTCCATAACCATTGTACAAAAGTACAGCATAGTGTGTTTTTGAAAAAATGATGTGTGGGTCAGGGAGGAAATAAATGCTCCTTTTATGCTGTGCAGTAAAAGCATAGCCTACCCAAGTAATTTTTCTCTGTAAATTAATGAGTAGGATTTTGAAACTAATCAGTCTCGAATTTTAGTTATAGTGGATATCAAAGAATTTACTACACCAGTGACAATGACAACATGAAGAAATATTACAATTTCAACTAAATTAGAAGTTTTTATGGGAATTCTGATGGCATGTAGATTATAGTGAAATATTAATTATGCAAATAAGCAAATACCATATTCACACACGTACCAAAACAATAGGCTCTGTCTCCCTATTACTATCTTGCATTCTGTGTTTGAAACCAATCGGACTTCCCAAACTTTAGTTATCGTGTTAACTGACGTAAATTTCCTAATTAATGAAATATTAATTATGCAAATGAGCAATGAGCATATTTACACACGTACCAAAAACAATAGACTGTTGCTTTATCACCATATTGCATTGTGCAGTTTGAAACAAGTTGGAATAACCAAACTTAGTTAACGTGGTAACTAGTCTAAAGTACCCGAATAGTGAAATATTAATTACGCAAATGAGCAATTAGCATTTTCACAAGTACCAAAAACAATAGGCTCTGTCTTCTTATTACTATCTTACATTCTGCCACGTTTAAAACCAATCAAACTTTAGTTATTGTAACTAGCCTAAATTACTTGATTAGTGAAATATTTTTATGCAAATGAGCGATTAGCATATTCATACATGTACCAAAAACAATAGACTGTCTTCTTCTTACCATCTTGCATTCTGCCAGGTTTGAAACCAATCAGACTTACCAAACTTTAGTTATCATGGAACAAACAAAATACCCAACAAAAACGATGAAGACAACGACGAAAACAACATTAAGAAGGTCATGGGTAAAAAAAAAGCCTTCCCAGAGTTTCGGTCCTTTGAAGAGGCTAATTAAAGGCCATGGCTATCAATTAAAATTAAAAATAAAATTAAATGAAAAAAAGGATTAAGCATCGCATCCCCCACTTTTAATATTGATGTAGTTAAGGTTTCACTGCTTTTAAATGACTGGGTTGCGGCAAACTGGGATTCATGGTTTATGAATCGGCAAACTGGGTTTCGGCTCAATGGACATATCAATCTGGCATTCAGCAAACTGTGTTTCGACAATCTCGCCTAGATCCCTAGTAAGGAAACATTCTTTACACATAAGTGTCATTTAAGCATCATTTAACTACGAGCAGCTATTGCAGACAACCTTAGCTATTGCATATCACTAGAGCAACTAACAACCACTGCAACAACTATAATTTGATCAAAAGTATATAAAACTATATACTTACTTACATAAGTATACAAACAAAAAAAGTAATGTGACTAACTGCTGTGTATCAAAGATTACTAGATGAAATATAGATATAAATTTAAATAATACTCTCATAGTTTACTTATTGATATTTTTTTTACAGAAATATTAATCTGAATCAAGAAATAAACTATACACTAAACTGATTGTTTCATTTACTGTACTTATCTAGGTTAGATAAATGTATTTAGTATTGATACTGTTAATGCAATTCTATTGTATGAAATCTTAGACTGACCTCAAATAACTTTTGAGAGTTTGAAATGGTAAATTTTAAGGTCACTCTCTATAGTACTGTCACATATTTTGAAGAGTTCAAGTTGTCATTGGTGCATTTAAGTGGAGATCTTTAATTCAGTTTTATTAAGACAATGTATTCAAACAGATTTATCAAAAAAAAAAATTGATTAAAACAAAATATGTTATTAATAGAAAGATTAAATTTTAAGTATCAAATATGCAAAAATGCATCCATAAATGATCTACAGGCCTACTGCATTTAGGTTAGTTGGGGTGGGGGGGGGGAGCAGTGGTTGTGGTGTGAGGCATTCCTTGTAATAGCAATGGTTGTCAATCATCACATCATCAGTTTACATGATTTGCAGCGTATGTGGAAAAAGCAAAACTTGTTTACACTATGCCATTGCAAGGAATAGGTCTAGGACCCAGTTGCAACAAGAAATAGTGTTGCTTCCGGGCCTTAGCAGATTTAAGGAATGAAGGAAATAATGGATATTACTTTCCAAAGCAGCACCATAAAAATAATTGTTTTCAAAGTCAATAACTTTGTTATCCTATCTAGAGGTCTAGGCTTCTTCAGACACACGGAGATAAATGCCTCTGAGCTTAATTCGGATTCACTGACGCCAACGTACACCAACATTGGCCTTGAAGCAAGCAATTGTTTGAACCTATCAACTTTCCTTTTTTTTTAAAACTTATCCAAATATCTGTTATAGTGATTAAGTTCGCTTATGTGTCCCTGCCCACTCATGACATATTGTATTTGTATTCTGTATATGTACTCCAATATTTTATTTTTTTGGCGAATTAAGAATGAGAATAAGAAACTTTTTTTACATAAAGTATCAGTCATTATTGAGAAATCATTTGCTTGCCTACAGCAGCTAAGGTAGATAAGCATTACTAATGTATATCACTATAGCAACTATTGTAACAACTACTAGAACAGCAGTAGATTGGTTTGATTAAAAATATATGGGCCAAGATCATTTAGCTTCAGCCAATTTTCATAGAAATAATGGCTACTTTGGCTTATGTTTCCAGTAATGAGAATCTTAATTATTAAATTATTATTACTTGCTATTTGTATAGCACCTTCGCTTTGAGCAGAAAACACAACAACATGTGCACTTTTTGTAAATGATTACATTCTGTCATTCCAAGGATTTATGAGGAAGGTATGAGGGATTTTGAGAAGTGAAAACCCTCTATTTTGTTACATTAATTTATTTTTTCTTAAAAATTTGTGTTTATTCAGAAAATAACGGATTAAATTTTTTTAGCCTGCTAGGGATACTTGTATCTGCGGATATGGATAATTATAATATTAATAAGCATACAGTAGCAACAATAAGAATAAATTACTATAATTACTATTATTATTATGATGATGATGATGATGATGATGATGATGATGATGATGATGTTACTAAAACCTACCTTAAGGGGAACTTAGACAATGGAGAAATTTGAGAACAATTAAAAAAATGACATTAAGGGGAAAATAATACAAAGGATATTCTCCCTTAAGTCTGACTTGGCACATAATAATAATAATAATAATAATAATAATAATAATAATAATAATAATAATAATAATAATAATAATAATAATTAGTAATAATAATAATAACAATATTGTTATTATTATTATTATTAAAAACAATAAAATATTATTAGAAATGTATTTAAAGTAGCAACAAAATAACAAAAATCAGACCAATACTGTGTATCAAAAGATTTGAGATGAAATGAAATATATTTAAATTACTATCAAATTTTACTTACTGACTTTTTAGAATTATTAAACCCAATCAATATATAAATTTACTGTAATATGATTTACTTTATTGATTCAACTAGTTTAGGCTAAATGATTTAACATAGGTACTAAATACAGAGCATTGTTTGAAACTCGTTGTGCCTGATGGCTGACACAATTCTATAGAACACCACGGTGCACAAGCATCGGATCATTATTAACGACAATCTATTCAGCCCTTCTTAACAAACTTAGGGAGTGGCGTTGGATTTGTTGTACAACCATCAAACAACGCAGTGAATGCTTTTTAACTTTTGAAGGTTACTATGAGCTTCCACAGGACTATCACAAACAAGTGAACTTTCAAGTGAAAGGTCATTGGTACAGTCAAGCAGTGATCTTCAATTCCATGACATTCTCACCTGAAGCTTCCAGAATCTTGAATGTTTTATTCTCTTTCATTCGTTGACACTTTTTCTCAGAGTTTTTATTGAGGAGATCACTGCGATCCAACAACAGCTCCAGATCGGAATCACTGATGACTTGCTCTTTACAATTTTGAATGACACCGCTGTGATCTGTGGAGCGTAACACTTTTAGCAATTCCATAGGGTCAAGCATTGCTTTGGAGTCCCTAACCATTGTCTTACTTCCCTTGAATTTACCTGTAATTCAGGAATAAAAAAGGGTGATTTCATGTCAAATCAATCAAGAATTTACCTAAACCTCTCAATAAGGGGCGGCGCTAAGATTTGCCTGGTGGGGTGTGGGGGGGGGCTGTC